GGAAGCAGATTAAAGACTAAATGGAGCAATTAACGAGTGGAGTCCGACCATCCCTAGACTTCTCTCTGGCTGTAGATAAGCACTTCTTAGCCCTCCATGAGGAAGAGCCCTTAAGAGCGATGTGCAGTGTGTGTGGTTTACTAAGGATCCCCATCGAGCACAAAAGTTAAATTATAGAAGGAAGTCTCTGCTCTTTATCCAGCATAGCACTAACAAAACAAACACACATGTTTAGTTTAACATAACAACTTCCTCTTTGTTTGATCGGTGGTTTCACTCCTGAGGAAAATCAAGAGAAAGAAACTTAAAGGCAGCAGTTTGGGATTTGGATGATGAGCCTTATCTTAACTAGAATAAGAGGGGGATGGACTGGAGATGGAGATTGGTGCCCGAGCGCAGGCCTCCCAGGGCGCCTTTTTGTTTTTCAAGATTTCACAGCCAGAGAGATTTAGGGGCCTTATAGACTCCCCAAACAATGACTGGCTGCCCTCCAAAGAGCCTTGTTCAGTGGACAGACTTTTCTCAGTCGCAGTCCAAACTTAATTAGCCTCTCAGCCCAGTTTGGAGGGAAAACGATATCTCAAGAATAAGGTCTCGGGAGCTAAATGGTTCAAATGAGGCAGTGAGTAGTTTCTGATTCACTTTGTTTCTGTAGAAACTAGTCACAGAAGTTGCAGTGAGGATGTGGTTGGTCAAGACTTGGTAGAAGTCAGATGTTGGGTATCAACTGGAGAAGCTGCAGCTCTCTCCCCCAGCTGTCTCTCTCAGGGTGTCAGGTTAAGAAGCAGGTCGGTGCCAAGTGGGTGAGGGTGGAAATGAGTGCTCTGCCGTGGCCCCACGCCAACATGTCACCACCAGTTCCTCACCACCACCACCACCACTACTGTACTCTCTCACACAAGCCACCATCCATTTTCACTCGACACAATAAGGCCACTGTAGAGCGACGTTTCAATTTTTCACTCTAACGAGGGAGCGTTGCCAGTAACTGTTTGGCTCGCTGTCGTCGTTCATTGTAATGCTGCTGCAACTCGCTGGTGAGTTGATCAATCAGTCTGTTTATTTTCTCTGAGTCGGAACAAGATCACTGATGTTGAACTGAAGTACAACCTGTCACATGTGTAACGTCTCCATCAAACTTGTATTTGATGCTACAATTATTTATTCTCATCACACTCTTTGATCAACTGTATACAGACGAATAGATTGTTGGAATTATGTTTTATTCCATTCGTCTATTTAATTGTTCAAGCAAAAATGCAAAAAACAGATCAATCATGAAAATGATCTCTAGTTGCAGCCATAATCAGACCTGGAGCAGGATGATGTAATTGGTAACATCCTAAAATCTAGAGTTTGGTGCTTTCATGGCAGGAAATAATACTTTTGATTCCATCCATGATCTATATCGCTCATTTTTTAAGGCTCTTGATCCAAAACTTGAGCCAAACTCAAATGTGCTCAGAGGCCTGTGTTGTCACCCAAACACCCTGATTTCTGCATGAATATTTCAGCTGCAGGAAAATGTTGTGGCAACCAGCTGCCACCACCCAAGTCCCCTAAAAGAGCAAGTGGTGCAAGCCGGTTCCTATTTTTCTCCGCCCAGAATTACAGAGCTATCAGTTCCTGTACTGGTTCAGGTGTGAAACGCTCATGAGGTTTGTGACGTCAGATCTTATATGTTATCATATGTTTAATCATAACAGCAGCACCATCACTGATTAATGCTCCTGAAAAAATATGGTTATATTCTCCACATTCAAAACAAAACCTAAACCACAAATTACCACCTGTCACTGCGACTAGAAAGCAGCTAACAGGAAAACACTGCTTCTACTGTCTTGGTGACGACTTGTTTGATTTATTTTTTGCTTTAATTGCTTCTCTCTGTCCACATGTTATAATGTCGGTCTCATTATTAGAGGTTACTGATGTGTCTGTTGTTCTCAGCCTGTCTCTGAACTTCCTCTTTCCTCGGAGGTGCATCAGAGCTGGTTGTTGGTTCCTGTGGCACAGCAACACGAAAGAAACCTGATAATCACAGACACATAAGGAGAAGCTTTTGTTGAATGTCTCGCTCTGACCTCTAATCACCCGATCAGGTAGCTGCAGAAGCCTGGTTCCTGTTTTTCGGGCAGCCTGAGCGACTCGTGTGGGGGCTGGTTGTAGCTGTTTTCAAAAGCGGTTTTATCTTGAAAAATTCCACTTAATTGGAACCTTTGATGGATGAAAGCTGCTGATTTTAGTTGGTTTTATCTTGAGTTTAACCAGAGTTTCATGCCACCGGGGACATAAAAGTTGGTTTACAGAACCTTGTTGTTGAGCAACACCCACACAGTGAACCGCTGGATAATGAGGAGAAGTGTCCAAAGATATGCATTTGAAATATAGGAACTGATGTCTGTGTTGAATCATCAGCTCCTTCTCTTCTGGTCTGTGGAACAAGGAGGCCAAGCCATTTCCTGATTTGGTCATAGAGACCGCTTCAGTTCAAAGACCAAGTTTTTACTATAGCGAGTGTCCATTTGCACCTTCGGTACGTCCTCTGTGACGGGACCTGACAATGTGGACTCAGCGATCAAGTAAACCTTTAAATCAGACGGCACTGGTTTACTTCACAGGACTTAAAAAGTGTTAAATGTGTTTATTGTCATTATTTTGTGTTTTTATTATATTGATAATTATATTTACATACTTTTGCATGATTATTGTCATTATCATTAAAGTCATAGTTCATTATATTAACGTTCAAAATTATCAAAGTGCAAAATATAACTCATCAATACATGTGCAGATTATTTTCTTGATTAAATAGTTCTGGGAATAAAATGATATGTATATTCTCCCATTAAATTCACATCTTCATATTCCTTATGTCATCTGACCAACAGTCAGAAACCTAAGAATTCAACTTATATTTAAATTAAACAAAAAAATGCATCCAATCCTGACATTTCAGAAGTTGGAAGCATCATATATTTCACATTTTTGCCTCGAAGCAAATAGATTTTTCTGATTCTCAACTAATCATTTCAGCTCTACACTTTTATTTTCATGATTTATTAACCTGCTAATTACTTTCTTGATGGATCACAGAAATCATTCAGTAAATAAAATATCAACACAAGTCTCATATGTTCTTCCAGAGCCCAAGCAATCATTTCAAAATCCAAAGAAACCCAAAGATATCCAGTTATCATCATACCGATAATATATGACAAGGATAATAAAATATTGACATTTGATTTGTTGATTGATTTTATGTTTAAACATACATTGTTTACACTCATAATCAAAATTGAGACTCATTCAGTACCTTTGGAATATTTCTAATTCTGTATGAATTACATTTTATTCGGGTGATTCATGTAAATACTGACTCATGTAGCTGCCGCAGTCACTGAGGCTGTGAGTCGTCACCGTACCTTCATACCTGCGACATAGGAAGGATACGTGCCTGTCTTTTTGAGCAGCAACTAAAAGTAAGGACATCATCCTGACAGCAGAACTGTTGCCTTCCCCGAGATTGCTTTTTAAGATATATCGAACACTTTACCAATCAATACGGTATCACTTATTACTGCCCTCTTCCAGAAGCCTCCCTCACAGGCACAGATGTACTTTTACTGTTGGATGTTATCCGGTCGGGAAATATTGAGCAAATGTTGAGTGCAGAGGAAATGCTTTGTCTGAGGGAGGAGACAGTAACCTCTGTTTGAAGGTGACCAGGAGCTGCCTGTGTGGGAGTGCAGCCTACTAGGGACCCCTTCTGGCTACAAACAAGACTTCCTCTGCTTGTGGAACTGACCCTTTTTATCAGCCTCCTACTGTTTTCACAATGTCGGCCAGCGCAGCAGTCTTCCTGTTTCTCATTGTGATTGTTAAAAAAAAAAATGGAAATACTTTATCGTCCTACTTTTAAAAAAAAATACTTTTTTCCAAAAGATCAACCTTTAGAGGATAAAAATATAAAAGAGAACCAAAACATGTTTTCAGGGTATTTTCAAATTTTTACAATCTTTAATGTTAAACCATGAATATGTAATAATCCATCCACCCATTATCTACAACGCTTATCCTTTGAGGGTCGGAGCTGGAAGCTATCCCAGCTGACATTGGACGAGAGGCCGGGTACTTCCTGGTCATCGGCTGATCGCAGATCCAACATACAACCACGAACGCTCACATTCATATGTGCAATCATCAATTAATCTCACCTCATATGTAATAAGAATTATACATATATACATAATCTTCGTTTAACGCTTTAAAGCTTAAGCACAAAGTCCTTCCCAACTATAGGATTCGCTGATATGCGGGTTGCATAACAACGTCTAAGGAATCAACGAAATGATTTTTTATATGTATCGGCCGATATATCGGTATTTGAAATGTTTTACTCCATCGCTATAAGCTCTGTCATGATGGGTATTCTTGCTGAAGACAGTGAATTGATTAATTTGCTAATAACTGTACCACTGCAGCCCAACACACTTAGAACAGTGTCTGATTAATAGACGCTAACATCCCGGCCACTTCGCACCGTGTCAGGGTTTCATGGTGTCTCTGCTCCCTGTGACAGTGCTGCCACGGAGCTGTGACTTCTCACTTTCTTGACAGCAAAAAACGGATTCACCTTTTGCCGTCTGATTTTTTTCTGACTTGCCTCTTACAGCTGCTTTGTGGAGCTACACTGCTCGACCGTGTCTCCTGTTGCGTCCCCCCCTCTCAGCACTCCTGTCTCCCTGTGACACTCTGACGAGCTTCGCCATTTAATGAATCCCTAAAACAAGCTGAAGCCGCCGCAAACACACAAACCGCTGTAATAGACTCCGGGTTTGAAAGAGACTCGCTCTGCTCGGGGACCACCGCTGACACCCCGGGTTTTTCGACTGCAGCTTCCTCGACGGATCAATGCAGACAGTTTCTGCTGAGAGAGACTTCATTTATCAGGTTTTTTTTTTCTGCTTCATCGTCACTGTCTGTCTCTCTTCCTTCAGGATGTACCCAATAAAAGAGGTTCCTGTGGAGGCAGAGGCCCTGACTGACTGGCTGTATCAGAGGTTTGTGGAGAAAGAAGAGTTGCTGGCCTACTTCTACGACACAGGTCTGTCTCGCCATGTCAGTCTGCTGAAGTCAAACTGTAATGATTGTGAAACTGTTGCACACTTTATCTTTCACACATGAATGTTTTTGGAGGAAATGACTGACGCCAGCTGCTCCCTTCAGTAGATATTTTACATGGTAGTGAGTAATTACTCCTTTGTCACCATCATTACTTTCTGTCGAGTTGTGCACCAGTGTCATTTTTCACATTATGTTGTAGATAGATTTACACTCAGAGAGTAACTGTGCTGAACTCTATAGTAAATAGAGAGTGATTCAGACACAGTGTTTGAGCTTCAAGCCTCTGGGCGTTTGTTTCCTACGGTAATGTTTGACTAACATTAGAGCAGCGCTGTTGCTAGGAAACCTGCTGTCAACGTCCGTGGTGCATTCACTGAGCATATTTTAGCCGTGTTTGTTATACAAACAATCATAAAAGTGGGTTTTTCCTGACATTTCTTAGCTTTAAACCGCTCAAAATTTAATCCTCTGTCATTCATCTGTATCACACACTTTTGTCATGTTATTGCATCAGCTGCTGAGTCATGTTGTCATAGGACGGAGCTCAGAAGCTCTGCAGCTCTTACTTCAGGGCAGAATATTTCCCCGGACCATTACAACTTTGAGTGACGTACGTGTACAATGATGGTTGGAACACACGAGTCAGTGAAGCACAGTCAGCCACAATTTAAAGATAAGCCCGTGTAAAAAGTAAGCAGTGTAAACGACTCATAATGAAAAGAAAAGATGTTTTTCTGAGACGTCGTCATCCTGGTGGAAGAAATGCTAAGAAATCGGCCTAAGAGCTAAATACTGATGCTTTTGTCCGTCTCTCAACAGGATCCTTTCCCTCTCTGGACGGACACAAGGTGGCAGTTTCCCGGCAAATGACCCTGGACCCCGTGTGGCTGTGCATCATCCAGTCGTTTGCTTTTGCCTCCGGCTACATGTGGTACAGCGTCCTCCTGTACCTCTACTGCTGTTTATTTTGAGTGCGCTGATGAGCTGAGAGTCTTAATCGGACCACTGGAAAAGCCTCAGGATCGTTTGGTGTGTGGCCCAGCGGCGTCGCACTCGCCCCCTACGATGGATGAATGTACAATTTGCAACAGCGGAGAGACTTACCAGGAAACAATAAACATATGAAGTACACACACACAGATTAAAGAAACCCATACATTATGAAAACGATCACAGGCATAGTTAACGTACACACAACCCTAACGCCACACACTCGCTCCTGCGGCCTCGCAGAATAATCTCTCGCACTCGTCACAACTCACATTTTGATGTTTACACGTCCTCATACACGTAGACGCTGACACGTACATGACTTTTTATTCAAAGTTAACAAAATGAGGCTCAGGACTCTTCCTAAAGACGCTCTGGACCAGACTCTCTCTCTCTCCCCCTCCCAGGCTTTAGCCGTGGTAGTTTTACAGAGTATAAAGTGTGTATGGACGCGTGTGTGAGTGAATATATGTGATTAGAAGCGTAATGTCTGCCCTTATTCTTCCTCCTGGCAAGAGTTGATGAAGCCCACTGGACGTCTCTTTCAGCCCGCTGACGACCCGGCGGGCCACACCTTCCGGAGCGAGCGGCTGTATGAACGTTGAGGCTGCGCCGCCGGCCGCTCCTCTGGCCTTCATTGCACTAAGGAATCCATACTGCCCTAACTGCTCCCTGCCCCAGGAAAAGGCTCCTGATCGGTAGCTGTCGATGTTTTGATTGTCTTTTGTTTTCCTCCCTTTAACCCGCATATCACCACAACTACAGCCATCGTTACTTGTCGAGTTTCTTCTTTTTGTCATCATGACTTTTTTTTTTTTTCCTGTGTCCGCCTGTTTGTCGAGGCAGTATTCTGAGCTCACTGAGAAAAGGGGGGGATCATGTTTACACTGGCAGCCCTGCTGAAAGCCTAAAGAGACGGTGGCTATGATGCAGCGCTTGATTTAAGGATCTTTTTTTCCTGTTTCGTATGTGAAGGGAGGAAGAGGAACGATAACTCGAAAAGAAAACAAAAAAAAAAAGTCTGGTTGCAAGAAGTGCAGTCTGATCACCTATGAACTGACTTCCTCTCCTGTGGATTCTCTTTTTCACCCTCTGCTCTCCAACATACACACTTGCAGACAAAAACAGGTGCGCACACACAACCATGTGCAGCTACACAGCGGAGTAGACATCTGTCTCCAGGATCATCTCAATGAGTCCGACTGAGAAGGACTCCGAAGACTCTTATTCCCCCATTGGACTGAATAGTTTTACAAATATTTAAGCCATATGCTTAGTGTTTTTGGGGTGGTGAAAAAGACATGGAAAAAAATATGATTTTTTTTTTTATAGGAAGCTACCCAAATGTTCAGCATTCTACGATAGAAATTTTGGCTTACAGAACTATAGGTGTCATTACTGTAAATTTACAGCATAACCTGCCTAACTGAGTGTGTGTGGTTGTCGTCCCCCCCCCCCCCATTTTTTGATATATATGAATTATGTCGTGTCGCTCTGTGACGTCAGAGTGTGGCGGCAACTTCACCACAAGTGGTCAAAACTTTTTATTTCATTTTAAATTACATGAACTTTGGTCTTCATGTCACGGTATCTTTAAATCTTGTACATAACGAAGCTGAGGACGAGTTTTCAATGTTGAGAAGGAAGATGACTGAAGCCGTTTTTTTCTCTTTTGGTCCACGATACATTCAGATAATTTTTAGTTTCAGTTGTCATGAATGTTTTTAAAAAAAGAAGAAGAAGAAAGCAAGGATTTTCCCTTCACTTCTCAGTGTTATCATATATTTTTCTTTCTTTTAATTTCAAGCTCCTGAGCAGAAAGTAGTCGTGTACTTCAAGTCATTAAAGCTACTGTATGTTCTGGCCGTTTGCACAGTTTCAAACTTATACAATTGTACATTTTAAATCTTTGGGAGACCGCGTCTTTCAGGACTATCCCTGATGTCCTGGTCGACCACAATCCCTCAAATGAAGCGGTTTCCTCACGCTCTCTTGACAAACGTTTGATGTAAAGACAGTTTCGAGGAGTTGAGCTCAAACTGGGTCAGTGAGGAAGAGATCGCTCCTCAGTTACAAGGGAAACTCCGGCAGGGCCCCGCAACGATGCAGCTGTTATCTCTCGAATGTACTTGTGTTGTGATGTCGAGGTCAACTCTGTGTAATTTGCTTAGCCTGCTGTAATGAGGAAAACTGCAGAGGAGCAGCAGGGAACAAATGCAACAAAAAAAGGTGCATTTCAGTAGTTGCTGGTCTCTCTGTGCACCATTGTTGGTAGAAACTGTGTGAGATTTAAAATAAGGGCTACCTGGTCGGGTAGGTGGATAACATTTTAAATTAAAGGCTGTAGATGTGTTTCATCCAGCGGCCCTTTCAGATTCCCCTCCATCGTGAGAGTGACTTCAAATGAAGCTTCATTGCTTTTTTTTTTTTTTCCACCTTTTTCAATTTTATTTTTTATTTTATTTTATGACCATGTTTCCAAAGAAGGCAGGGAAATAAAGTTTTCCTAGATGTGGCTTTAGGAAATAAACACAATAGGGATTTAAAGAAATTATACTAGAATTGTCTGTAATTTTCCATTTTGTACTCCTTTAATTCCTAGCTACACAGCCATTTTACAACACAAAAAACTTGTGCTGGAATAAAACATCATAAAGATCCTAACACGAGTGCTGCCTCTCTTTCATGTATTTCTGCATCCGACATTAATTAAAACAGTTTTCTCTATATACCGATGCAGGACGCTCACAGGGGGACCTGTGATAGATCAGATATGTTGGATCCTATAAAACCTCAAGTATATAAATGCTTGACGCTCATCATTGCAAGTGTTAATTTTATGTCTTCAAAAATGTGTTTGGATCTTCGTTAAACACATTTCTGCTACATTCATTCTACAGACTTTCCTCTGAGCCTTTTTTTATTGACAAACTAGGAAAGCTCAAACCTTTCCCCATCTATGTTTTACTAAATCGAGATAAACACATCAATAAAAATGGATTCCATCACATAAACTAGTTCTTGCATAGAGATTGGTTTTGAGCTGCAGCCATTAGTCATTTAGTAGATCAATTAAAAAGAAAATTGGCAACAAATGTGATCATTTTGTGTGATTTTTTAAAGAAGGAATGAAAAGTGTGTATTGTTGCAGGTTAGTTAAGACTTTTTCCAGCGCAGATATATATTTTAATGTTGCATCAATAGAACCAGTAAAGTTGCACAACTGGGGACAAAGTCAAAAAATGTAATGTAATGATATGATGGATTAGACCTGGGTCAGTGTCTGTGTAATTACAGTTGGTCGACAATGTTAGATTCAAGGAAATGAATATGCTCATATCGGGTTCTGTAGAATTAATTGCACAGATCAAATGTATTTACTGAGGATTAGACTCTGGTGTAGGTCCTGCAGAGATGTTTCTATCAAATCTTTGATTCCTTCTGGTTTTTAGGTTACGCTCCCGTCTGGAAACGTGAAAGTCAATGTTCGGTGTTGAGAACAATCTGCAGGCACCTGAACCGTGTGTTTGCTCGGTTCTGTGCCTGTTGTTTAACTGTGGTGTCGGTCGCTGGCCTGTTGAAAGTCCCTGGTTTATGTTGCAGAGCTCAGATTTCACAGCTGATGAAAACTGCACAGATCTCTTTACTTCGGCTGGGCAGACGGCTGCGTCAGTCACAGAGAGGCCGACAGTTTCACTCTGGTGAAGCTGAACATTTAAAGACATTTATCTCTTCTTCTTGTGCTCAGGTGTGAATGGAGTGAACTATCCCTTTAAGCTAAATGGAGAGATGTGGTTAGAGGTTATGAAAAGACAAATTCCCTAAATATTCGATTCTGTCTTTAAGTACTAAAGTAGCAAATACTACCAGTACAATCCAACCCTCTGCCCATTCACAGCACTATCACTATTATCACTGTGCTGCAGATTTAGAGATGGTCAAGTCACATAACACCTCCTGTATCGGCTGCTGTGACGGTTGAAACGTGCTGTGAAATTGTTTGGATTCTCAGGACGGATGGAGACAAAGGGCAGCGTGGCATACCATCAACTACATTTCTCCGGCAGCCGGAGTGATGTGTGGAGGCCTAGGTCTGCAGGAGAGCCACACGCTCCAGGCAGCCAATGAGAATCGAGGGTGAAAACAGTGGGAAGTCAGCTGCGAAATGGGATTAAATATGCACCGAGCGTCACCAGCTCACCAAAGGGCTAAACAGTCAGGAGCCAACAGGGCGGCTGCAGCTCAGCCTGGTGTCCACGTGGAGAAGACGTAGCACTTAGAATCTTTTACGCCTCCGTACAAGCTCAAAATCTCTCTCCAAGTGTCGCCCACATCACACAGACAAATCAGTCTGTAGAGGAACCTCTTCGTCCTCTGCAGAGGTCCCAGTGTTCCTCCTCCGACACCTGCATTGAGCTATTTCACAAGCATGGCTGCCCCCCCCCCCCCAAGGTCCTCGATGTCACGCTTTGATGCCGACTCCCTCGTGAACGCCACGGTGACGCTGGTGTCCCTCGAGTCAGCGGGCACTAACACAACCAGCTGTGGAGAGGAGGCCCGGGTTGAATGTCACTGCGGCGGCCGCTGGCATCGCAGAGTCTCGTTGGGCCTTCCCGTGCTGGCAGGAGAGCATGATGGGAGTGACAGCTGCTCCAACCCTCAGTGCTGTCGGGATCAAATGCAAATATTTTAAAACTGTGAATGAGCAGTTTCACCCAGTTTTGGAGCCGCAGTATTAAAGTCCCACTGATAAACACATCATGAGTCAGTCTCAGCTGTCACTCATGACGTTTCACCCCATTTTTGTAGCTTCAGAAAAGGTAATTAAAACCTATAACCTTTACTGCAGGCCACCACCAGGGGGCAATCAAGATGCTGTGGCTTCACTTTTGGGAAGCTGTTCATGTTTGAAGCGCCTAGCCCAAAACAGGCGGAGTCAGTGGTGACGTGAGAACCCCTCCCACCTCAGGGCCGCAGTCCCCTTAGAAGAGGTGAGGAGGTCATTATGGGACGTGTCTGTCTGTCCGTCCTGCCTGTCGCTCCCTCTCAACTCCTGGCCTTTAAAACAGGGGCGGCTGACGTCAGCTGGGCCCCGGGCACCCGACTGTCTCTGTTGTTTTTAGCTTTCAGTTTTCCGCTCGGCCCCCCGACCGTCCCTGGCTGATGTCCAAACTCCTCCAGCTCTTTGTAGGCGTGACCTTTGCAGAGGCAGACTGGCAGAGCGGCTCGGCTGCTCTCTCGGTGGTGTGAGCCGTGTCAGTGTGCGGTGCTGGCAGAGCAGCAGAGATGACTGAAAGGATGATTTGAACACAACTGTTACCGAGGCCGTCCCCGCTGAGAGGCCCGTTAGCTGAGCGGAAACCCCAGAGTCTGCGTTTATCTCAGGGATCACATGTCAACGTTCACTTGCAAATAGAAGTCTTCCATGTGACACATGTGGGATTTACCCAAGTCAGGCTTTAATTATAAACGCTTAATCTGATACCGCTGGTCCAATGCTCTTGTGACTCATGGCGTCAGAAATGGGATTACATGTGCAAGATACGACTGTGGCCTATAACCAGATAAAATCTCTGTGTGTCTCAACTGTTTATTTTCTTGTAATCTGGCTGTGAACTTACTGACTGTTTTAATCATTTTAGAATGTTTCACTTTATTTTGTTTTTTCTCAGCTGTCACATATTTATTCTTATATCTCTGCCCTAATACTGTGTGAGCTTCAAATTGCTGTGATGTGTTTCTATCGTTTGCCTTTAACTTTTTACTTTCCACCTGTAAAACACCTTGTACCTGGGTTTTGAAAGATGCTATATGATTGAAGTTTATAATATTATTATTATTATCATATTATGTGATCAAAAGACTCACAGATCTTGACATTTAGGACGTCAGAACCAACAAGGCATTTGAAACAGAATTTTAATTTGGTGAGTCGAATAAAACAGTCGAGACCTTCATCAGAGTGTTTATACTGAAGACATACTGAGTGTGATACCCAGTAATAAGAGTCAGAGTGAGAGGTCGCTGCGTGTCGCCACTCTCAGATGGCGACTCCTCAGGTGGTCCTGCTGGTCAAATCCAAAGACCCGTGACAACACGTCGCCCATCAGCCTCCTCCTGTCTCCTACATATGCAGCCATGGAAACTGCTCTGATGACAGCCTGCGACCTTTTCCTGGATTCACGAATAACTGAGGATTAAACAGGGAGTTTGAACAAAAGGCCCGAGGATCATGTCAATCCACATCACAGACAGAAAAAAGAAAAACAGGAGCTATATTTTCAGATGCATCTGTATTTTCAAATTGTGCTTCAGTTGTTTTGACAGTGTCCCTGCTTTTACTGAGGTATCTTTATCTTAATATTCGAGACAGCTGCTTTAATTGTTCCTGAGAAACAAAGGGACCGGGGCCTTCTCCCCGTCCGTCCTGTAACTCTCATTTCAACCGAATCACCTGGAACCTGGAACTTTTTTCAAGAAGCTGAATAGTTCCTCCAGACTCCTGTTGTTCTCTTGTGCTTCCAGGGGAGACGTTGAAATTGGCCTGTTAACGCTCGAACATCATCCACCAGGTGGAGGTTTAAAAAAGAGCAGTAAAACACTGAAACAGCAGACATGCATTAACATGGAGGAGATTCAAAAAGTGCAGCTGTTGACTGGAGAAGAGAGGAGGGCTAACAAAGCATTTATGAAAGAAGGACACCGATTGTTCAGGCGACTGCGGAGATTGAAGGGTTGAAATAAAACTTGGGAGCTCACCATCAAATATGAATTTAATTTTTGGTTTGTTTACAGAAACAGTTCATAGATACATTTTAATGAAATGCTTGATCTTATCTTATTTTATCTTTCTCATCTCATCACTTGTTCTCAACCCTTTTCTTTTCTTTTCTTCTCTCATCCAAACACTCTGACTCCTGGTAGAACCATATATATATAAACGTGTGCTTTTGGCGCCATCTTGTGGCCACGCCTCCTCCGCCCGCTCTACTCTCGCGGGGTTTCAGGCGCCTAGCAACCTCACACATCGCGTCCACCCGCCGACCAATTAGGAGCCGCGGTGCCAGCGGCGCGGGGCCAATCAGCGGCGAGGATTCGGGCACCGATTTAAACGGAGAGGAAACGGCCGCTGCTGCACGCGAGCGAAACAGGAAGAGAAAGAAAACAAACATTTCAGAAACATCTGCGTCGAGACTCCAGTTAAACTCTGCGCTGGTTTGAGTTCGTGCTGGACCAGTTTATCCGAACGTTAGCAGGTTGAGTAGCCTGGTTAGCCGGTTAGCTGGTAGCTCAAGGTTTAAACATGCCGTCCCGTGTGGACGACTACGAGGTGTTGTACACTATCGGCTCCGGTTCTTATGGAAGGTGCCGGAAAATCACACGGAAGTCCGATGGAAGAGTGAGTGAACTACACAAACTACACAGTTTACCTGCAGCTACACAAACTACACAGTTTACCTGCAGGTACACAAACTACACAATTTACCTGCAGCTACACAAACTACACAATTTACCTGCAG